ATGTATTTTTTCTTCTATAGATACTGGACATTTTTTCACACACACACATATATATATGCAGGGTTTGTTTATTTTGTTTTTTGTTCGAGCCAAAAGCTATAAAATGAGCCATCTGTTATAGGTGTTACCATCCGTGTGTGTGTATATATATATATATATATACTTTAAACGTCTCGATTTATTTTAATTTTATTTCGAGTCTCCCATCTTTCACAGCTGCAGAAACGTTGGTAATGTCTTCTTGCCAGGTAAGGCCGAACTATTGTTCAAACTGGAGAACTCTGAAATAATTTCCAAGTTAGGATAAATCGCCGCCCATTTTTAACTGCACACCATGTAACAAAACTCACTTCTAAATAACCACATGATCATTAAATTTGTATCTGCCGTTGAGTACCACCACCTCCCGTGCTCTTCGTGGTTGCTATCTGGATGTTTATAAAAACCTAGATTCTGGTTTGGTCTATCAGCTGTGAGCCCCGACTTGAAATCCTCGTTAAATTCGCCAAGAAGGCTCGGCTCCTTTCGGCTGTTTCTGTTGCAATGAGTGGCATAGAGACGTACAAGAAAATTTTTGAGAGTTTTTCTACACAAATATGTCGTGTTTTCTATAATTTTGCACCCAAAACAAAGAAAATATTGATATGAAAAATAAGACCTATTGTTTAAAATCTTTGAGGAAACATTATCTCTTTTGACCTTCCGTCACTGCAAATGATAATTGCTTCTTCAGTTTACCTTACCTCTATATACCATTCATAAGTTATTAGTATGGGTGTAGGTTGGGTGACTGTGTTACAAGTATACTAACGAGTAGTATAGGTATATATTAACTGGTACTAAAGGTTTACTAGCAACGCTTACAATTGACCGTGGTCAGTAGCTGTATAGTTGAACTTGAGACGTTGTGGATTAGATCACGTGGACCTCACCCCTTTAACTGTTTTATCAACTGGTTTACTATTGTTAATACGATAATATTTTCACACGCGACTAGATGGATAACTATCCCTAATGCTAAAAGCTACAACCCCAGTTATTCTCCTCCTGTAGTTTCTACCTCTGGGCCCCGGCATGGCCAGGTGGTTAGGGCACTCGACCCTCAATCTGCGGGTCGCGGGTTCGAATCCCCCTCCCACCAAACATGCTCGTCCTTTTAACCGTGGAGCGTTATAATTTCAAAGTCAGTAAAAAGACTAGCCCAAGAGTTGGCGGTGAGTAGTGATGACTGGCTGCATTCCCTCTAGTCTTTCATTGCTAAATTAGCGACGACTAGCGCAGATAGCCCTCGTGTAGCTTAGCGCGAACTTCCAAACCAAACCATTCTATCTGTGGTATGAGTTTGGCTCGTTTGATTTGTTTCTTGCTATTGGCGCGTAGTTTGTTATATCTGTCGACAGTGTAATCAAGCTCTCTGCTTTACCTTACAATATAACATTATAGGAGCTTTGTTTTGTTTTCTTTACGACAGGGGGCATCATGAGAGCGTTGGATCTCACCAGAAAGGAAGCTTTTGTTTTAGCTGTGGATGACATTAATAATAGTTCAAGTATCCTACCTGATACTCAACTCGTTCCACTTGTCTTGGACGGTGACAATTCCCTGGAGGTAGTACGTGCCGGTAAGTTTTTTCTTATGGTCTTTCTGTATTAATACACAACGCTATTCTTTAAAAACAGGTGAGAATTGTATAAATTTAGTCTTTGTAGATGTTGATTCAGTTGTGTTGTGGAGTTTCATTTGTTTCCGTTATGGCTGGTTTAGGGTGGGTGTGGAATTGATATTCAGCCGTTGTGTGGTGGTCTGTGACAATCGGGTTTGGTGTGACACTGTTACTCAGTCGTTGTGTGGTGGTCTGTAACAATCGGGTTTGGTGTGACACTATTACTAAATAGTTGTGTGGTGGCCTGTAACAATCGGGTTTGGTGTGACACTATTACTCAGTCGTTGTGTGGTGGCCTGTAACAATTGGGTTTGGTGTGACACTATTACTCAGTCGTTGTGTGGCGACCTGTAACAATTGGGTTTGGTGTGACACTATTACTCAGTCGTTGTGTGGCCAAATGAGTATTGTTATTCATAGATGATATAATTATGTGTGTCCCTGTTGACACAGAAAAAACGTATCCCGTGAGTTAAAAATGTGCTTGCGTT